AATATGACCTTCTTGTTTAAAATTGTGTTTTAAAGACGTACAACACACTTGGGGGAAGGATAGCTATTGCGCATTCAATTGAACGTTCTACTTGACGTCTTATTTAAGGGGGCCGACTATAGTTTTATTGTGTGAAAACTACAATAGCGGAACTCTTCATTTTTATACCATATATGACTTACATCAACTTCAGTGTACATGCAACGTTTGGGGGAAATCTACCGTCCAGGTATTTTTGAGGGACCGTCTCAAAATACAGGTACATTTAGTATAGGATTATATAGGAAAATGCCAATTTTTAGCACTTTAAAGCAAATTATACAAATACTGCAATAGACATTTTGTTCAAATTATAATATTTGATGAGTAATATTATATCATACAGTATATGTAAGAAACTCAAAATTCTACCGTCTTGTTACCAGAGGGGGCATCTCAAAATGCAAAATATTAGCAAATTTTTCTATTTTTATAGAGTATTACAAAATATGACGTACACAATGGATTCACATGAAAACATGATAGAAATATTAGAGATATTTTCAAATTTCTATCTTTTAAATTTCAAGAGCGCATGTTCATTACTTTTTCTTTAATAATATTTTTATTACCCCTTTCTTTAAGAACTACAGATTATCATAACGTCAAAAACACACTGCAACGACGTCAACCTACCTATCAACTGCGAAATCGGCTAAAAATCAGTTATATCAAATTGTAATTACATTTTTATACCTATAATTTCTTAATTTTGTTCAATTTTAATAATTAAGCGAAAAAAGTTGCATTAAAACAGTAAATGCGCTTCATTTTACTATGATGCGCGAAATATTGCGCAATGGAAACTATAGTCGATCCCCTTAAGCGTCGCAAGGATGAGCAATACGATCCTGTTGTATTAATTATCAAAGAAAAAATGGATAATTAACTTGATTGTTTATTCTTTAAGTACAATATATTTCTTTACTTCTATCAATAATTATATTACTGTAGGCATACTATTTTTTCCACGGGGTCATAATTTCTCGGAATCTCAATTTCTGTTGAATACGCATGTAAAAAATGACGCGGATTTCCTAGACTCTCACTATATGCCTTACATTTATCACATGATTTATATCAAGTACGCTTGGACAAATTTCCTCGGAAAATGTGTGACCGCATGCATAGCGTAAATTAATTTCACTCGAAAAATAGTACTTCTACAGTATTTAAAAATCAAACCCATCAAACTAAGTAAAAAGAAAGTCACGAAAGAGTATGTCTTAAATTTATTTTTTAATATCATATGTATATCGTATTAAATATTAAAGCGCAACATTTTTTTATCTGTACAATGAGCAGCATAGCATTAAGATTCATGTTTTTTTTTATATTACTATGCAGTCGCCATGTAATGAATGTTTGTTCTTCATTTAAGAAATTAACAACAATGTTAAAAAGTTCTCTGGGAAATGAATTTTTAGTTGGTCAGGTGATCAAATCCTGTGAAGCGAGAAGGGCTTGTCGGTAGATTTAATTACGTACCAACTTAAAGTCCATTACCCAGTGAACTTCAAAACATTGTTTTTTATTATTTATTTTTACATTTGAGACAAACAAATTTCGAGTAAAACAGCATTTATTTCACAAATGGGCCGCAGTATTCCTATGTTGTGATATGCAATGACCTAGAAGTAGCTAATCTCGCTCCATTATTTCAACATTTACATTCATGTTTAACAGCTCAGTTCAGGAAATTTCTGTAAATAGTGAGAGAACAATTATCGCTTTGGAGAATAATCTAACTATATCATAAGTTTTTAAAATATTTGAAGTCAAAAGCGGTGGTATCGCTTGCATTAGTTAACATCACTCCAGAGGAATTTTGGGTTAAAAAGATATGTGCAGTTCTAGGCTAATTTCTATAGTATCCTAAACCTTGATAACATCGATAGATGTACATCTTGTGATTGAAAAATATCCCTGTTGTTTATCATTTTTATCTTTCTCATTGTTATTAACTTAGAAAAATTCCAAAACAAATCGCACCATGTCAGAAATATGTAGACAAAATATCACCTATCTCTGTGATTCGTTCGCGCTATGACCCCTGTTTCCCAAATTACATTCACACAGAATTAAACATATTTTCTTTTCAATAGGTTCATCTAAGAAAGATATATGCACGTGTAAATATTTATTAATAAACAAACTAAAAAAAACAACAACAACAAAAAAAAAACAACAAAACAAAAAAAGAAAAAATATAAAAATAAACAAGCGATCAAAAAACGTTTTTACATTTTTTTTAAATTACAGTTTTTAGAAGGTTTTTGACCAATCAGGAACAATTCTGAAAATGTATATGTTAGTTCTCTTTCCTTTATTCAGTGTGTTCCGAATACTTAGCATCAAAAACAATTACCTGATGAATCCGAGAACAGAATACTATGTTCCAGATAGCAAGACTATGTTGGGCCAACATTGGCAAAAGGTTGTATAGTTGGCGTTTGGGAAACAACGTTGGGCCAACGTTGGACCAATGTAACCATGCCAACCTTCTTGAGCATGACGGAATTCCTATGTTGGCCCAACGTTGGCCCAACGTTGGCGACTTCCATTCACTTTACTTCCCAAGGAAGGAGGGATGTTGATGTCGGCCCAACGTTGGCCCACTGTTTGTAATACACCCTTAAAAAAGTGTCTTTTAAAGTTTGTAGTAGTATGTTGGCCCGATGTTTGTAATACACCCTTAAAGAAAGTGTCTTTTAAAGTTGGTAGTAGTAGGTTGGCCCAAGGTTGGCTGGATGTTTGTAATACATCCTTAAAAAAGTGTCTTATCAAGTTGATAGTAGTATGTTGGCCAAACGTTGGCCCGATGTTTGTAATACACCCTTAAAGAAAGTGTCTTTTAAAGTTGGTAGTAGTATATGTTGGCCCAACGTTGGCCCGATGTTTGTAATACATCCTTAAAAAGTGTCTTATCAAGTTGATAGTAGTATGTTGGCCCAATGTTTGTTATACAACCTTAAAGAAAGTGTCTTATCGAGTTGGTAGTATGTTGGTCCAACGTTGGCCCGATGATAACACGAGTGTTCTTTTGTTTAGGTGTTTCAAAGATGGGATATTTATAGTGGGCCAACGCTGGCCCAATTATCATACTGCCAACTAAATGAAAGTGTCAGTTTTAGCTGCTGAGCTTTACGTTGGGACAACGTTGGTTCTAATTAAGTTTTAATTTAGATGCACATTCTGAAATAATTAAGAGGACATTTTATATCCATGCTTTTAATTGGATGACTGTTTTTGTTTAGATCTGATATTTTCAACATTTTAACTTTGAACTTAAGTGATCACAGCACCAAAGAGTGTTTTATTACATTTTTTGAATTGTGCACATGCATGCTTATTTATTTGAAATTAACCCTTGAAATTATGAATTTTTTCATGAGAATTTAGAGAAGACTGAATAAGTTCTCAGGAACAGGATGTGAATGAAGCCTACATATACATAAATCAAAGTGACACACTGCAGCCTTATAATTAAATTGAAACAAAAGTTAGGCGTTCGCGAAAGCTTGGAGATTAAAACACCAAACTGTGGAGTGAGCTGCCAGATTCAATTGCTCACAGGTGGTGATAGACTGAAAATGAAGGGCAAGCAAGAAGAAGTGAAATTTAAATTTGTTGATTATGTACACTTGCTATAGCTGCATTTAGAAGCGATGTAAGTATATATTTATTCTTATTTATTCAGATTAACTGTTAAAATTGATTCGGAATTCAGTATTTTCATGTTTTTGTACACAAGCACTGTAAGTTAAGGTTAAATAACATCTTTTAAGTTGTTTCTATCTAATTCTTAACTGTCTATTACAGACACGATTGTAACAAGGAAATTAAGGTGCACCTATAGTAGAATACATCATTCTCTTTATTAAAAGTTTTAATTTAAGTAATATTTATTCATAAGTTGGACCAGTAATTGTATTGTTTCTAATATCAAACTATTTTGTATTTTCAGTCAGAGACTGCAAGGAAAACAAATGTCGTGGCAGTAAATAACAATGAAATCGAAGACCAAGCATAAAAAATATATAAAGTACGAGTACGTATGACAAAGATCAAGATGAAGAAAACGGGAGGCGACGAATGGGACGGAAAAAGAGCGGGAATACAACAAAAGGACAGTAATAAAGGAAGTGAGCCCTGATTAAGGATTTTTCATAATTTACCTCTATTGTCTATTTTAAAATTTATTTTGTAAATTATGATTGAATTGATGTATATAAAATATTTTCACAGTGAATCATTAGTAATGTTTTTTATTGAACATGTCCATATATGCATTATGAATGCAGATTGAATTGTGTATTAATTTTTTTAAACAGTCATATAATAGGTTAATGTAAAGAATCGCTTATCCAATTGCAAATGTTTCTATGTGATAACTACGTTGGCCCAATAATTTGCCATCTGACATTGTAAAAAAGGGTCAACATTGGGCCAACCTAACCAACCAGCTGTTAAGGTTGGCTGTTTGTTGGCATACACTAAAAACTAAGTTGGCCCAACAATATGCCATGTGGAATTTCAACATAGGGCCAACGTTGGGCCAACCTAACCAAACAGCTGTTAAGGTTGGCTGTTAGTTGGCATACACTAATAACTACGTTGGCCCAACAATATGCCATCTGACATTTCAACAAAGGGCCAACGTTGGGCCATCCTGACCAACCAGTTATTAAGGCTGGCTGTTAGTTGTCATACAATTATACCTACGTTGGCCCAACAATATTCCAACATGTTGGACCAACGTTGGGCCGATGAGCAAAATAACCGTGGGCCAACGTAAGGTTACCAACAGTGGGCCAACGTTATCTGCTATCTGGGCATGGCCCACTATAAATATCCCATCTTTGAAACACCTAAACAAAAGAACACTCGTGTTATCATCGGGCCAACGTTGGACCAACATACTACCAACTCGATAAGACACTTTCTTTAAGGTTGTATAACAAACATTGGGCCAACATACTACTATCAACTTGATAAGACACTTTTTTAAGGATGTATTACAAACATCGGGCCAACGTTGGGCCAACATATACTACTACCAACTTTAAAAGACACTTTCTTTAAGGGTGTATTACAAACATCGGGCCAACGTTTGGCCAACATACTACTATCAACTTGATAAGACACTTTTTTAAGGATGTATTACAAACATCCAGCCAACCTTGGGCCAACCTACTACTACCAACTTTAAAAGACACTTTCTTTAAGGGTGTATTACAAACATCGGGCCAACATACTACTACCAACTTTAAAAGACACTTTTTAAGGGTGTATTACAAACAGTGGGCCAACGTTGGGCCAACATCAACATCCCTCCTTCCTTGGGAAGTAAAGTGAATGGAAGTCGCTAACGTTGGGCCAACGTTGGGCCAACATAGGAATTCCGTCATGCTCAAGAAGGTTGGCATGGTTACATTGGTCTAACGTTGGCCCAACGTTGTTTCCCAAGCGCCAACTATGCAACCTTTTGCCAATGTTGGCCCAACATAGTCTTGCTATCTGGAACATAGTATTCTGTTCTCGGATTCATCAGGTAATTGTTTTTGATGGTTAGTATTCGGAACACACTGAATAAAGGAAAGAGAACTAACATATACATTTTCAGAATTGTTCCTGATTGGTCAAAAACCTTCTAAAAACTGTAATTAAAAAAAAAATGTAAAAACGTTTTTTGATCGCTTGTTTATTTTTTATATTTTTTCTTTTTTTGTTTTGTTGTTGTTTTTTTTTTCTTTTGTTTTTTTTAGCTTGTTTATTAATAAATATTTACACGTGCATATATCTTTCTTAGATGAACCTATTGAAAAGAAAATATGTTTAATTCTGTGTGAATGTAATTTGGGAAACAGGGGTCATAGCGCGAACGAATCACAGAGATAGGTGATATTTTGTCTACATATTTCTGGCATGGTGCGATTTGTTTTGGAATTTTTCTCAGTTAATAACAATGAGAAAGATAAAAATGATAAACAACAGGGATATTTTTCAATCACAAGATGTACATCTATCTAGATTATTCTCCAAAGCGATAATTGTTCTCTCACTATTTACAGAAATTTCCTGAACTGAGCTGTTAAACATGAATGTAAATGTTGAAATAATGGAGCGAGATTAGCTACTTAGGTCATTGCATATCACAACATAGGAATACTGCGGCCCATTTGTGAAATAAATGCTGTTTTACTCGAAATTTGTTTGTCTCAAATGTAAAAATAAATAATAAAAAACAATGTTTTGAAGTTCACTGGGTAATGGACTTTAAGTTGGTACGTAATTAAATCTACCGACAAGCCCTTCTCGCTTCACAGGATTTGATCACCTGACCAACTAAAAATTCATTTCCCAGAGAACTTTTTAACATTGTTGTTAATTTCTTAAATGAAGAACAAACATTCATTACATGGCGACTGCATAGTAATATAAAAAAAAAACATGAATCTTAATGCTATGCTGCTCATTGTACAGATAAAAAAAATGTTGCGCTTTAATATTTAATACGATATACATATGATATTAAAAGATAGATTTAAGACATACTCTTTCGTGACTTTCTTTTTACTTAGTTTGATGGGTTTGATTTTTAAATACTGTAGAAGTACTATTTTTCGAGTGAAATTAATTTACGCTATGCATGCGGTCACACATTTTCCGAGGAAATCATGTGATAAATGTATGGCATATAGTGAGAGTCTAGGAAATCCGCGTCATTTTTTACATGCGTATTCAACAGAAATTGAGATTCCGAGAAATTATGACCCCGTGGAAAAAATAGTATGCCTACAGTAATATAATTATTGATAGAAGTAAAGGAATATATTGTACTTAAAGAATAAACAATCAAGTTAATTATCCATTTTTTCTTGATAATTAATACAACAGGATCGTATTGTATTGCTCGTCCTTGCGACGCTTAAGGGGGTCGACTATAGTTTCCATTGCGCAATATTTCGCGCATCATAGTAAAATGAAGCGCATTTACTGTTTTAATGCAACTTTTTTCGCTTAATTATTAAAATTGAACAAAATTAAGAAATTATAGGTATAAAATGTAATTACAATTTGATATAACTGATTTTTAACCGATTTCGCAGTTGATAGGTAGGTTGACGTCGTTGCAGTGTGTTTTTGACGTTATGATAATCTGTAGTTCTTAAAGAAAGGGGTAATAAAAATATTATTAAGAAAAAGTAATGAACATGCGCTCTTGAAATTTAAAAGATAGAAATTTTAAAAATTTCTCCAATATTTTGATCATGTTTTCATGTGAATCCATTGTGTATGTCATATTTTGTAATATGTATTGACGTCAATAAATCGGAAAATATTCAGTTTTTACTTAATAATGTTGTATATAGATCTGCACTTTTCTGAGTAAAAATTAATTTTGTTTAAAAGTTAAATTATTTATTGCCAAGAAGAATTTTCATCAATCCGTGTTTACCCTACAATCTAGCAGCACTTACAAAGTACTACAGAATACAAATAAGGAATGAAGAAAAATATGGTTAAAAGTATGAAGAAAAACGTTGATGCTTTGCATTTGTGTTATGAATGAATGAATGGCTCTATGGGCTTGGAAAAAAAAAATATTGTAATTGATTGATGGAAAGAAATCAGCGTACGTAATACTTAATCTTTAATTGAATATGAACCATGTAAATTATACTGTTCGTTATATCCATATATTTCATTGTTTTCAAAAACACGTTATTTTTCATTTTACTCGAAAAAAATATTTCATCAAAATATAAAAAACGTCATGGGTTAATTATTGTTTCACAACATTCTGTAGTTAGCTGATATCATAACCAATTTCTTGATATTTTTGTAATTTTTTTAAAAGAACTGTTTTGAGTAAATAGGAGGACTCCCTCCCCTCTCTCTCCTTTCATCAAAGGTCTTTCAGACTTTGGACAAATCCATTGCTTTAAACCTACAAATACACATTAAAATTCAAACTCGAAAATATCTTCTGCTTTATTAATTTTTTTAAATATATTTTTAGAGTATGCAAGTGTAGGGCGCATTTAAATGAAGATTTTCAGGCAACTTTTGACTACGCCCCCTCCCTTCTTCTGCCATTAAATATTTTGCGTTGCAAACCATTTGAGGTTTATGAAACATCGGTTACAGTGCAGATAAATAAAGTCTTTCAATTCCTAAAGTACGCTCTAGTATACTAATTCATTAATTTAGAATAAACCATGATTGGGTACTAGTTTGTTTTGTATCAGGTAAAGGTAACTTAAGGATTTCATGTCCAAGTGTCCGGTGTTTTGTCCATATGTGTATTATGCATTTGACTTTATACCTTGATATGATATCAACTTATGCTGAATTTTAATTTCATTTCTCGAATTGTTATTTTTTTTTTAATTCAAAAGTAAACACGCAATGAAATATATATACATTCAAGCATTCTGTATATATACATATGGAATAGCCTAATTGTCAGGCCGGTAGGAAGCAATAACAGGGGGAGTGGGCGCAGCAAAACATTTACAGTTGGTTGTTTTAACCAACTATCATAGTTTTTTAAAAAACAAAAAGAGTCATCAGACATTTTTTTTTCCTTTATTACAGGGGCACAAGACTATACTGTACTAGCTTTAAGCTTTTATAGTATTCTATATATCTGAAAAGCTATAATTATAGTTTCTCCATCTTTTTTTTTTAAACTTGACAATGTGTTGGATAAACCCCTACCAATATTTCGTAAACATCCCTTATAACACTAATGTATCAAACATTTTCAATTCACGTACATATATGTCAAATTTATATTAATTTCAATGTGTACATTTATATTCAAATTGTTTTGATTCGAGGAAATGCAAACCAACGGTGTTGGCAGTGATAGAAGATCAGACAAATTGCTCTAAAAGGATATTAATGAATTCGGGTAATTTCAGCATTGATATTCCCTTTCCAATTCCTATACTTACATTGCGTGTATTATATAATATTTAAAAAAAATAACAATTCGAGAAATGAAATTAAAATTCAGCATAAGTTGATATCATATCAAGGTATAAAGTCAAATGCACAATACACGTATGGACAAAACACCGGACACTTGGACATGAAATCCTTTAGTTACCTTTACCTGATACAAAACAAACTAGTACCTAGTCATGGTTTATTCTAAATTAATGAATTAGTAAACTAGAGCGTACTTTAGGAATTGAAAGACTTTATTTATCTGCACTGTAACCGATGTTTCATAAACTT